GTAGTAGTACGCGTTCACGAGTAAATCACGTGCTACTCGTGTCGAGATCTGAAACAGCGGTTAACATACTCTACTATATTTGAGAGCGTAGAGAACGAAACGAAAACGGTACAGACCGCTACGATGGTCAACATAGCGGATCTTAGCGTTTGTTCGTTAGAAACATATTTAACGTTCACTCAGTGTGTTATCAGAGCCTTACATTACATATCGTGATGTTCCTGAGCTCATTACTAAGACAACCCTCAAAAAAGTGGCAGCGAAAATAAACCTGTGCTAGCTTTTTCAGAAGATGTCCACTTCTATCTTGTATATACCCAGGCATTGCATAGCGTGACCTCTCAAGAGAGGTCTTCTGAGGCGGCTACATTGAAAATCACTTGCCTTGCGACCCTTGGAAACAAAGGCGCTGATGAGGCGCGTGTTCAAGTGTGAAATATCTTCACGCAAGCTTTTATTCTCAGAACCTTTGGCCATCCATATTTACTATATATTTCAGGTCACTGTCATTCTTTTATTACTTCTATGTTTTATACACTTTACCGCGATGAATTTTAAGGCCCTTATTCCGCCACCCAACATGTTCATTGTTAACAACTCATCTTATTATTGCCTGGCACTCTTTGACCATAAGATGGCCCTTGCGTACCAAAGCACCACACATCACCATCACTAGAGAAGTAAGTGAGCTCGAAGTCTTGCCAGCTTGCCAACCATGTTCCATACTGTCACCTCATCTTTGTAGTATTTGATTTCTCATAGAAATGTGTGCCAACTTTCCCTTTTCGCCCGTCGATGCGTTCTCCTACTTTGCCACTTATTGTTCCAAAAGTTTATAAGATGCTCCAACGTTGGTGAGTCTCTAAGCAACTTCTATGCCTTATTTTGTTTTTTGCGCGCATTCCGGCACTCAATCTTTCTCCATGAGACTCGTCGTTTGCCTTACGGTCCGCATGTTTGGGGTATACACTTCTTTGACAATCAAAACAGCTATCAGGTAGCTCACAACAGCTTCTATGCTTAACATCCCCATGTAAGTCCAAATTGAGAAAGTAATTTTTTTAAACTGTTCTCAATCGGCTCTAAAAGTGAGCCATTTGGGAACCTGTGGAAGACATACATTTGATATTTTTGTGCTGAGAACTATAGGAAAATGGCCAATACCATATGAATTATTGACGAGTAGAAGGGATGGAGATGTTACGCTGATGTCTATTGACGAGTAGATATTGTTAAGGACTTTTTAATAGGTTGGCATTAACGATTCAGAGGGAACACGCTGAAAGAAAAAAGGAACTATTCAAACAGGCGACGTCGCGCTTAGCAGCGACAGTCACCCCAGAGGCTATTATCTGCATTAAAGTCTCCGAGGTCAACATATGGTTCTGGAAGTTGATCTATGAATGCCTGTAATTTTTGTTTACTGAGTTGGTGATGAGTCGGTATGTAAGTAGAGGAAATTGTGACCAGTTTGTTGAAGAGCACAGCTTGGACGTCCACCGCCTCAAGAGGTGTTGTAAGCGGTAAATGTACGATGGCAATGCCACCAGATGATGCAACAGCATCATCCCCATCCTTTTGAAAAATAGCGCAACTGCGTAAAAAGTTTGTGCGCTTCAATTTCAAGTGCATTTCTTGCACGTACAGCACTTTTGGTGGGTTTTGTGTAGAAGTTCTTGGATATCGGCGAGGTTTCCCAGCAGTCCTCTGACGTTCCAATGCAGTATTTGTGTCATTTTATTGTTGTGTGGTGCTGTGTGTACAAAGTGTTGCCTGAGGTTACAGGGCCTCTTGGGGACTCTATAATTCAGGGGTTTTCTTTTCTGGCGTGCTCTGAAGAGTTGCGCTTAATTTTCGGTGCCTGAGGTGCCGGAGGAGGCGGACTTATATCCATCACCTCTTCTGAGGTGACGGATAGTGTCTGCCCAGCAGGCACGTTCGCAGTGGTTTAAGACCTAACTGCACTTGCAGTAGCCTAGAGTCCAGCAGACACAGGAGTCTGCTGGCCCTGTTTTTCAGGTGGCGGAGCACTACAGGCTGCTCCAGCTGAGGGCGCTGATGGCGCGACCATGTTCACACTCTGTTTGACACTTGCGGCCTCGGAAGGGTCTGGCACTCTGCCTCGGTGCGTCACAGCAGCAAAGGAGGGAATGGACTGATGGAGTGCGAACCATTTGCGTGCCTTCTAAAAGGATAGATGAACATTGACTTTAAGCTCGAGGATTTGTTTTTTTTTTCCAGGATAGGCACGATCGCGAGTAGGCGGGATGGTCTCCGTCGCACTTCGCACAGCTGGCTGCTGCAGTACAATATTCTGACACGTCTTCGTTGGAGCTACAATTCACGCAAGTTGCACGCCTTCTGCAGCTTTGCGAACCGTATTCAAAGCGCTCACATTTGAAAAACCTGCTATGATTTTGTATGTAGGGCATGACTTGAAACTTGCCAATTCTGGTTTCAGTTTAATCGGGTAAATAGGTGGTACCAAAGGTGATTAATATGTGTTTTGTTGGTGTTTATTTCTTGTCTCGTCGTATGACTATTTCTTTGAACTTTCACTACAATCTCGTCATGCCAGCCTTCTAATAATTCACACCAAATTACGTACTATATTCATAGACCTGGGTTGGCCTACTGAAAAAGGGATGGCTTTAAATACTACAAGTTTAATTAGGTTATCACATAGGAGCTTCCTTATCACGTACCTCCAAGAGGAGGTCACCGCTTCCAAACTTGGTACATTTTAGCCTGGCCCAATGGCTTCTGTGAGTGTTTTCAAAACGAGGAAAGGCGAGATATATCAGACTGTTTTGTTTTCTTTTTCGCTGTGCATGACATGGTACTTCAGGAACGACTGCTTTGGTTTCAGGAGTATGAAGCTTTCTTCAGTGCGCCATCTTTTCGGGTGAAAATTGGGGAGTGCAGCAAAAAAGTGTGTCGTACAGGAATGTAATATGTGGTGGCGATGGTGGCCACCCACCACAGAGCCCAACGAGTGGACGCTAACATGTTCAACAGTTGACACTTGGAGACGTCTGCCATGCATTCCCGCTATAACCGAATATAACTACCCAAGGTTTGGTAACTACACGGCGTTAACCCTCGCCGCCAGGAAATTTGGAAGTAAATGAAAAAGACAAGGTGACAAGATCGATAAAGAGTCAGAGATAAAGTCGGAGTTGTAGGGAGAGAGTGAGATAGAAAAAGGCGACTGCCGATTTCCTCTACATGGGTCAGCCCACGGGTGCGATCTACGTGAAGCCGGGGCCAAAGGGGTGTGCTGCCTGTGTCGGGAGGCCTTCAATATCCACTTATCCAACGTCAACTCAACCCCCGGGATCCCCTTTTTGCCGGACACGGCAAAGCCATGCACGGCTAAGCGTTTGAGGGAGTCAACCTCCCCCCCCCCGTCCACTAGCTCTACATTATTTGAGAGTGCACACAATAAAGTGAAAATAGTGCAGACTACTACGAAGACAAACATAGCGTATCTTATCGTTTTTTTCATCAGGCACCTATTTACGGTTCACTCAGTGTGTTACCAGAGGCTTACCATTACCTTTCATCATGTTCTTGAGCTGAGCACTCAGACAACTCTTTAAAAAGTGGGCGTAAAAATGAAAGTAAGTTTTTGTGCACTACTACTGTCATCAAATATAACCTAAAATAGGCATTTTGACATAAAAATTATAGCTCGCATATAGGTGTTCCACCAGCTGTTTCTTTTGCGAAAATAACCATCAGCAATGAGAGGCAAACAGTACTTCTAAGAAAGCGCATGATATAGTTTTTAGGGGCCAAGCTTCTCGAGACGTCGGTATGTCTACCCCTTGTATAGGTTTACGTGACCGTCTACAATTCAACCTTTGCCAACTGCCCACTACTTCGTCCTTCCAAACATCCCCCTAAACACCATCACGGATCTACCACTTCACCGACCATATAGCACATACTGTATAAAAGTAGCGAGTAGTAAATGTCAGATAGTCGTGTACATGTATATAGGTGCGCGTCTAAGAAGCATAGATTGTTCCTCTCGATCTATCCCTTGTTAGCACGTGACCGCCTATAATTCCAACTTTGCAAACTGCCCACTACTTCGTCCTTGAAAACACCCCACTACGCCTCATCACAGATCCACCAAGATACCGACCATAAAGCTGTTATAATGAAGGGCGAACGTAAGCGATGTATAGCAAGCACTTACAAATATTAAATTTTTGTATAAATATATGCAGTGTAGGTCACAGTGTTTGATGATGTAGTGGGCAATATTCGCGAATGATTCACGCATGATTTATTGATAAAATTCTCCAGCGCTCCACCTCACTTATCATCATTCAATCCGTGGATATTCTGTGATTTTTAACAAGGCAACATACGTCGATGAGCGTGCCAAAACACTAATTACAGAAGAAAAAAATTGAATAAAATTAGCTTGTCTCTTATTTGCTTCGCACAGGCACAGTGCAAGTAGGCATTACTTCTGAGGGAACATCAGTGTTCTTACAGCTTGCACTGACCTAATTTTTGAACCCTCACAGAACGCACGTTAAACATATTCAAGCTTTTTCTAGTCAATAGTGCTTTGGTTCTATTTTAATTTGCGCATATAAAAATGGTAGGCACTAGTAGAAAACTGCTGGCGGTTGCCATGGCAGTGAAGAGCTTTGTAACTTAGTGTTTTGGGCGTGTTTCTATGTCAGTGCCGTTTTATACAAAAGTTGCCGAAACACATGCAAAAGTTCTCGAAATCATACGCTACGAAGCATATGTACGCAAAGATAGCAGAATTTGCAAAGTGATCTCAAAATTGATTGTTGAAAAGTAGGGCTGCCTATATATCTGGTTTCCTGTTATCTAAATAAACATTATTACAAGACAGCGCCTGTGTGTGTCCCATCTTTCTCTGTTCGAATGTTGTCATGCGCTATAAAGCTGCAGCAGTTTTGAGGTCACTCAAATGGTAAAAGTACAGGAGGCCTTAAACCAAAACCTACCCTCCGTTTCGTATGTGATAGCGTTTTCTTTACTGTAACCGTACATCTTAACAGCAGTTGCTTTTTCATAAGAACCTTGGCTGAAAGTTTTGTCAAAGAATGCAGTTGTAACTTCAGTCTCAGGTTCAAGCAACATTTATTGAAGAACACAACATCATAAAATGCTTCTTTTAAAAATATACTGTAATCAACCTATTTAAACAATCAACCAGTCTATCACATAGTTTTCCTTCATAAAGCAGGCAACGAATTGGTAAGCGCCGGGTATTAATGGGAACCTGTAAATTATATCATGTGTCGCTTCTGTAGACTGTTGACTCGCAGTGTAAATTGCAGTATACAGAATGCCCTTTTCTCATAAACAACGTCACAAGGTTTACCGGTGTCTGCCACTCTAAATTTTTGGTGTTGTTTCAAGAAAGCCGACTGTTCAATCACCATAAATCTGAATACGCATGCTCACTCTGTAAACAAGGTTCAAGACAAGTCCTTAAAAAATAGGATAGTCACAATGCATTCCAATGAGCAAATCAGACACAGCCTAATTACACCGCAACCACTCAAGTTTACATTTCAAAGTTTCATTCAGATGTGCCATCAATTCGGGGCTATGAGTGTACACGGGAGGGCCTTTTTTATGTTAAAAGCGTTCACCATACTCAGTTGGGTCCCTTTACTTCTACGTTATCAAAGCTTCTGCTTACATTCTAACTAAAAATGCCCGAATTGCATCATTTGCGAAAAACTTATCTTGCTCGAAATTGCTACTTTGAGCCCAGTGGCTTACGTTCGGAAGAAATTCTACATACCTCTCAGTGATGCACATTGAAAGCAGCATAAAAGTGTGAAAAGCTTTCAACTGCCGTGAAGCATCGAGATCTTTCGTGTTATAGCTGGCAACAAACGAGCGCAGTACTAGAGGCAATATTTCATTCCACCCTCTGACTATAATTTATTATTCAATTGTGTAGATGTAAGTCACAATGAAAACACTTCTGCATGAACACGACAGATATTCATAGCGTGTTTCAAGATATACAAAACAGCTCCAGACTGCGCTTGGGTAGTAATCACATAAATGATGATAATATGACTTTCTTGCACATTCTTTTTTCTGACTCGTATTTGATTTCACTAAAATGCACTAACGTTTTCGTGTGCTCTTCGACAATATGCTGATATTTTACTCGAGCGCCTTTAAAAATATGGTTTTAGGCTCCAGTTTTTTCTGTAAAGAGACCAGGAAGTCCTGATTGATAGATTCTGGCTGCCTCTTCAAAATACAGGGCGATACGTTTCTAAGATAGGTTGAGGATCAAAAGACTAATTAAAGTGTGCGTCCTCTTCATGAGCCATCAGCACACGACCGAAACACAGCTACATATATTCGTTATCAATTGTTCAGACACCCGCCCCTGCTCTCAGTAGAAGCTTCTGCGAGCTTCAGAACATGTAGGAAATGCCTAACGCCATTTAAAATGCTTTCTAATGCAGCTAAGCAATACAGGTCGACTTTTTATCTATGTATATGCTGTGGTATCTAAACTTTCGCTTGTAGTAAACATCTTGGTAAAGTAAAGAGCACGTACAATGACTCATTGTACTACACTATAGTCCTGTATTGTGACACCTCCCTTTCTTTCCCCCAGTTGGATCGTTAACTTCATCAGCAGTGGCAAACTAGAAACTGCTTTCCGACTGATAGCTCCTCCATTCAAGAAATATCTTCTTCTTGGACACCATTAGCTCACTTTAGAGCAACCAATGAAGTGATTATGAAGCTCGCTCTTACTCAATTTTCTCGACAGATTGATTGTAACTGCAAAGTATTTTGAGTGAAAACAGCAAGAGAAATGCTACATGGGTACTCACAGTCCTTTTGGCTTGAATTCAGTACACATAGTTCTCAACTTCAATTTTTTGCTAAATCACTCTCATTACCGAAGTACCACAATCTCCGCCATAACAACCACCATGTAAAGAATATATTAACGGACGAATAAAAAATTTACAGCGGGGGTTGGTGGTATTCAACACAGTAAAGAAAGCCTGACGCCAACTGGCTAGCCCGAGTGTTTGCATGAAACTTCGATATGCTTTATCTTTCCTCTAGGATAACCTTTGCTTTTCAGTCTTGGTCTTCATCAAACTATAATGTTAGTTTGAATAGCGGTTTGCATTACTGACAGGTTACGTGTTATACTACCAGCGAAAAATAAATTTCGATCCTACAGCGATGCCGAAAGAAAACAGACATTCGCATATTGCTAAGCAAATGCATATGGAAGTTCGACACGCAGCGTCAACGACGTCTACCGACGCGAGCCTCTGCTGACCAACAGCCAAGCAATTCTACGTTCACGTTTCCTCTCTATACGGCCTGACCATTCTTCTGCACTCGAAGTACTTCTGTGGTGCTCTAATGTAAGACAATACTGAAGCCTGTTCGCCAAGAAATGTGAGTGCACCTTCATAGATATCATGACGTGTCACGTTTTGTTTTGAATTAGTTATGCCCGTAAATCACATGAAATTTTGTACAATCTTGTGGGAGGCTTCTAGGAGCCCACTGAGCACCTCGAGCGCGCCAAGGGCCGCAGCCAGTGTCTCCTTAGAACATCGTAGGATTCCTAGGATGCTACAATTGATTCCTAAATGCAGTGCTATATTGCATCGGTAAAGTAATACCTTGGTGACGTGGTCTTCTTTTGTCGCGTAAATGGAGACCCTCCACATAAGGTGCTAGAATACAGCCAATGGGCCGCACTCAGGGCCATTGAAAAAAATGGGTATATAAGGAAACCCTTAGGCAAATGTTGTGAACGTCCCCGTATCAGGCAAAAGGTGATTTATTAATTTTTATTAAGATGACTGAGAGGAGCTTGTAGCTATCTCACGCCCAAGCGGCAATGAAAAGTACTTTCCTAAAAGGTGTCAGGACCTCATGACTGGTCACATAATAAACTCTCGTTTATTGCGAAGGTGTGGGGCTTAATTAGCTGACTGGCGTGCTCAAGCATGGGACAACTCATTACGGTTTTGTGAAGCCGCGATCACAATGATTTCAATATTGTGTTGCAGATTTTTTCGGATATATGAAAAAAAGGTAGTTACAATAACACATCATCCTCGTTCCTAAACAAGAAGAATACCAGAGCGCTCTTCTCATCCTCGTTAAAGCTGACAGACGAAACGCCCACGCAAGAGAAGTTATCACCCCACACTGGGTCGATCCTATAGGTGGCATTTAACATGTCGTAACGTTCTGTAACGCTCTTGTTGAGATGCTGAAAAGCAATATACATTATTAACTCACAGCTTCAATGTAGCTTTTTCGATTGTCAGCAAGTTACTTTAAAATTAGTGATATAGGGTCCTCAAGATACCCTTTAGCAGTGTCTATCTATATACCCTCGTTTGGTGGAGCAAGATGACAACATATAGGTCCAATTAACATGGAAATATAGACGAAGAGAGAGTTTAATTACCCAATAAATTGGAGAAGCGACAACTGCCCTTGACGGGGGCGTCAAAATGAGTCGAGCGAAAAATTCGCATCCCACAGTGATCCCCAGATGACGTCACTATGACATTTCATAGTGTGGCGTCACTTCATTATAAGGTCACGCAAAGTGCCCATGTCGAAAGGCATCTGTTCCCGGAACTAGTATCAAGTAGCGCTGGGCGCAGAAAGCCTGTGCCTTGACGGAAGAGTCAGAAAAGATGATGACCTAATCCAGCAAGTCTTTTGAAGATATATATATATATATATATATATATATATATATATATATATATATATATATATTCCAGTAGATCTTCCGTGAGCGGTCACAACGTGGTTTATTTCGACGTTTCGGCCTAGAGTCTGGCCTTCATCAGGATTTATATATATATATATAAGTTGGCTACGCTTCATTTACGCCGCCATCTCAGCCTCTGGACTTCACACGCCCTAGCCAATTTCAATAGCGTAGAGCATTTCAAGTACTGTTCACTTGCGGAAGATTTCGTGCATTTTGCAGTAATTAATACACAGCACTCATGCTTGCCAGTGCAACGCCATATGAGATAGGTGGGCTCAGCGGTTTTCACTTGGACATGCAGGAAATGTATCTTGTGCCTGGTATGAATAGTGTAATGAAGCACGTTATATGACGCACATAAAACGTTACATATCTGCCTTATGAGTTGTCAAGCGCGCTTTGCATGACAATCCAGTCAACCACCAACAAATATTTTGTTTTTATTGTGTTAATCCCATTTAGGCGATGTGGTATGCATTAAATAACGAAATATATTTTGTGACAGATGTAGCACGTTGAAGAACCTCTTAGCACGTTCAGAAGCGTCATTTGCATAAATATCTAGTCGACTGTGTACAAATGTTTTCTTTATACTGTTATTGTAATTTCGGTTAAGTCACTTATGTTCTGTGTTTCATTCCACGTTCTATCAAAATCCATTGGCACCATGGCATTTTTCACACCATGAATATTTTTCTACACTGATTAGCGCAAAAGAAATTATGCGCAGTGAGTCAGGATCTAGAAAGCAGAATATGTTTGCTAGAAATGTTTGCTAGATATGTTTGCTAGGAAACTAGTGAAGCAAACTAAATGCCTGGAAGGCGTAAGAGCCGTGAAAACAGAATCTACGGGCATTGTAATAACGAACCCAAATGGCTGTCAAAGGCGTCTAGTCACAAATCGTCTGCTGCCTTTGAGCATGGCTTTCATGAAATCACTGCCAAGAACACAACTCCGACGCTATTTGTCAGAGAAGGAGACGGCCCGCAACAAAACGACGCTGAGGAGAACGATATGCTGGGGACAATGGTCTGTGTAATTATACTCAGGGGTGTAGTTCGCACTTTGACAGTCATGTTGCTATTAGGTGAGTTTGTAAGGAATGTTCGTCTTTTTGTTTTATAAGTGTAACACATGTGAAAAGTAGAATAAAACTATAATAAACACAGGTATACATGGAAATTTTCGGTAATTTTAAAGGAAATATTTGTCTGGTTTTTCAACGGGCCTTCCCGCACAAAATGAAAAAATGGCAGATCCCACGTGCAATAGGAACCGATGATGAGAAGCACGAATGCGGAAGCTTGATATATCAAATTAAAATAAGCATAACGTTACGAGGTCGACGTAAAATATACCGTACATCAATTGACATGGTTATTGGTTCTGCGCCGGCATTTGTGTTCGCTGTTCTTCCCGTCGCGTGATACCAAATTTGCTGTATGTGAAGCTAACGAAAGGGCCACGAGCACGCTATGAGCGTAGCATGTAGCCATGCTCATGACACGCATGCCATAATTATTGTGTGTGGACGTGTCATTTACCTTAGTCGTCTATTCTTCTAACGCGATACCAAATTGGGTATATGTGGAGTTAGCAAAACGGCCGCGAACTCGCAATGAGCGTAGCATGTAGTCATGTTTTATATGACACACGTGTCATGATTATCATGTTTGGACGTGTCTTTTACCTTTTTTTCTATTCACATCACGTGATAATAAATTTGGTACTTCTGGAGCTAGTGAAACGGTCACGATTACGCTATGAGCGTAGCTTGTAGTCATGTTTTACGTGACACGCTTGTCGATATTATCATATTCAGACGCGTCCTTTATCTTCGTCGTGTCTTCACTCCACGTATTATCTAATTTGGTATATTTGGAGCTAGCGAAATGCCCGCGAGCACAGCATGAGCGTGTCTTGTATAGATGTCCTCACATGACATGCATATTTATTTATTTATTTTATTTCCAATACTGCTGCTCTCATCTGAGAGCGTAGCAGGAGGGCAATACAAAAAGTGCAATATATAAAACATTCTATTTATGTTTTTTATTTATGATTATTTATGATTTTTATTTATGATTTTATTTATGATTCTATCATGATTATCGTGTTTTCACCAGTCATGTACTTTTGTCAATCATTCACGTCCCGTAATACCTAATTTGATGTATGTAAAGCTTGCGAAACGACCGCGAGTGCACCATGAGCGCGACGTGTAGTCATGAGTTACAAGACATGCATGTCATGATTTCCACGTTGGGGTCTGTCAGTTGTGTTCACCATGCAGTCATGTCATACCATATCAGTTTTCTAATATATTATGTGAAGGCAAAGTTCCGCTTGGCGTTGCATATCTCAGTTGCCAGACTGGAGGATGGTTGTTGCCAGACTGTCGCCAGATTTGGTAGAGAATATTGTCTCTGTAGTTGTGACTTCCACTTGAGGGTTTTATGTCATTCGTGGTGCAGGTCGCCTGACGTGCATTTCGCGAGTGCATGTTTCGCGAGAGCTTTTACCACTGATGTATATGCACTTTACACTAAAGATAAATCTCCAAACATAAAATAGAATGTTCCAGCGGCTAAAGGGATAGACGTTGGCCCACTAAGAACATCTAATAGTTTTTAAAGTAGTTGAAAATAGTCCAGCATTGCCTACCTATTCTCTATCCCCACTACTAAATCTGCTGCTTGTGTGAAAACTTCCTACACTGCACATATCAGATGGTGTGTGGGTTTTTTTCGTTGTCACAACGCATGGTGTGTCGGCACAATAAAAACTACATTCGCCAGCATTTACGTTCACCCAAAAGAGAACTTCTCACTTTCATATATTTCTTCGTGCATACACATCGACACCAGTGTAAAACTTTTTACCTTCAATGCATCTTGGTGTGCCCCATTGGCCACTTCATCCGCCCAAACTGGCTTATTACCCTTCACGTGGCTTAGAGCTGAGGCGAAGGCAAGAGAGAGTACAAGAAGCTTCATGTTGACTTCCTTAGAGGTTTAGTGGGTGGATGGAGTGTTTGGAGACTAGAAGCTTCTGTTTTTATACACAGCGCTATAGAAGATTAACAATGAGGTAAGGTGAGTACACCATCGCATCGACTGATTATCGACAAAGCGCGTTTGCTAGCGTTGTTTGATGGCTGAATGTCTCGCATAATAATACATTTGTCATGGTAAGCACGCTGTAGTTTAGAACATTAATTCGTTTACGCATCTTCAAACTTAAGCACCACGATCATTCACTTGTTTCTCATTAGCATTGTCAAATACACGTGATACTGCGCAAATTTGTGTAGGGTACTTATTTTAAAGAGATTAATTTGCCGGGTACTAATTGTATGGAGGTGACCGCATTGTATTGGGATGAATTTGTATCGCAAGTATCCATGGCGTAATGGAGAGGCGGATACAATGCAGCTAGTCAGATTTTGTTTTCCGAGTCTAGCATTACGTAGACATTTATGAAACCGTTTGAGCTTCTCTTGGCTATTTCAATAGGCTTACGTGTGTCCGCGGGGTTACAATGCATGTATGTACAGAAGGCCCCCGCCTACTCTCAGGGGGCCCTTCAGCCACAATTAGCACGACACGAACCAGCAACGCTAGGAATAAGAACCGCTTTCTATTCACGACTCAAAAGCAAAAGAGGCTCTTCCCGACTGGCATAGCATTCCACAAACACATACACGAGGGTCAAAAGCCTGGAACGAGCAATCACCGTAGTCTGACCGTCAACGAAAAATAGGGCGCAAAACATAAAGGCAGAAAAGAAAACAAATTCGCATGGAGCTCACGGCAGAATGCGAGTCAACGGCACACCTTAGCGAAATGTCCCAACTGGCATGGCTTCTGCACTGCAGCACCACGAGAGGCAAAGCTTGCCGTGTCACGCAACTATCATCGCATCCCATCTCCTGTCGCTGAAGAGCCGGTGGGCAGGCATACAGAAAAAATTGGCCCCGTGTAAGCATGTTACACTGCAAGTGCCATTGAAATACGGTAGTCTTGCGTCTAGAGAGAGTGAACAAAACGTTTATTTGGTGTTCTGGGCAAGAAAATCGGTTCAGGGCAAGAAAAAAGAACGTGAGCTAACAAATTAACAGTATTTTGTTAGAACTACACTGTTCTTGGCCACTCCCCCAGCGTGGGTGTGTGCCACGATTTTCAGGCCCTCTCTCCCTCTCCCCCCCTTCCTTCCTCGCTCCTTCCATTCCTTCCTTTCTTCCTTCCTTCCGTCCTTACTCAGGAAGTACATCACGACTACGTAGGAGACTAACGCTTTCACCAAACGCCAGACAACACAAGGGCGGAAAACCGGGAAATTATCATCACTTTGACGGAATGTGTTTTATATGATAATACTTATACGTGCATACTTGGCATCCTCATTATACATAAATATCCTGGAAGACATGGTGTGCGCTGTGCGCGCCCGTCTCTGACGCGATAAGGTGTACAACGCAAGGCGACGGTTAGGCGCCACCACCGTGTCGTCTCAGCAAAGCGTCGGAGACACTTGCCTCTTTGTGTAACCATTGCATGGCCAGCGCAGCGTTTCAAAGGCTACGATCCTTAAAATTATTTAAGTATGCCTTTTCTAGTGAAAAATACCCATAGATAATATGACGTGTTGTTATGGTGCTTCAGATATCCGCAGTAACTGCTTCTTATTTGACAATCGCGCAAGTATGAACGCTGAGCTTTGAGCAATATTGGTGGGCGCTGCGGATGGGATCAGCCGTTCGGAGTATCGTTTGGTCACTTTGATGCCGTTTAGGGTACCGTTACGAGTGGACATAGAGACAAATGAACAGACAGAGATACCAAATTTTTGCGTTCAAGGACCCCAAATAAGACTGTCGTCTTTAAAAGCAATTCATTCAACACATCTTACGTTGCTATTTTTGTTAAGCCGCACTGCCATTTTCTGATTCACGCCGATTCTAGTACCCGCCACACTTGCATGCGACAAGGCCAGGCATGACAGCGGGAAGGTTTAGTCGACATCGTCTGCTTCGGTGTTTTCGTTTTTGAGACAGCAGGTGAGGCACGGTTTCAAGCGAAGCTTGTTGAATAGAATGTTGTTGGGCTAGTTGGCTCATTGATTCAGAAAAAGGTTAGAACTGCGCGAATAAGCCACCATGTAAAAAACAAACACGCCCACATATGTTGCGCTTCCTGTGGGGCGTGTTTTTATGTCTCTTACGTGGTGTCTTATCCGCGCAGATGTAGTGTTTTTCTGAAGCTTGTGACGATGGCCAGGTTTGCTAATAAAAAACAGTTTGCAACTGTCGCGGAGGCAAGACGTGAACATTGTGCAACGTAAATGTATAGCAAAGTATTTGTGCGTGATGTTTTTCTCATGTTGTGTTTTTTAAATGATCAGCCTCTACCTCGCCTCAAATTAAAACAGTGCGGACACTCTTTTTCCTGTCTCTTTGGTTGATATGGAAATTGACTGCTTATTAAAAAAATAAGCATAAATGAGCGCGATGAATAAAGCCCTAGTGAATTATGATTACCTACATCACTTTCCATTATTTTTATTTATTTTTATTTACAAAATACTGTCAACCCTCCTTGAGGGTTATTACAGGAGTGGAAAGGATACAAACATTATACAAGCAAGGCAATATAGTGGCAATACAAGAAGAGTACATAAGAAACGCGCGATCATGATAATAAGTAATGTATACATCATACAGGCATAGTTGCCTTGAACCAAATGATGAAGAAAATAAAATAAAATGTTAGAGTGTGGATGCTTTCTCCCGAACGCAATTAGGTTAACACCTGGAACTTCAAAATAAATATTACTTCAAAATAACTTCAAAATAAATATTACGCCATGACCTAAATTTAGGCGAACAATTATCAGATAGAAAAATTGAGAACCGCTGATTGAAAAAGACGAACAATAGCCTTGCCAACTGGGCGAATAAAACTGGTCTTAACTCATTATCTTCGTCACAGCCAAACTTCGGTTGCACACAGTAATCCAAACTTCGTAACAGCAGATCGGAAACGGGAAGCGCAGGCCAGTTTTTCTGACCAACCACCGGGCCGCTAGAGTGAATTTGGCCACTGGGATTCATAGGAGCGTCTACACAGATTTTTTTTACTTCTCTTCGAGGCAGGGCCCGGAAACTCATCGCTATAGCTTCAGTTTCAAGGAACATGCATACTCATAGCGGTTGCCGGCCATCTTAAGATCTGGTTGAAAGAAGTGAAGTTGATGTGGATGTTCACATTTATTGGCTTTCAAACTTTTTTTAAAACAGTAAAAATAAATATCACTGTAAACGAGTTCTCTTTTGTTTATATGTCTTTTAATGTACATTGTTTTGTGAATTTTAAATCAGGCGAAGCGCGGGAAGTGATTGACTTGCGTTCATAGCACCCGCCTCCGCTCCTTCTCACCTCTCGCTCAGCTATATTTGAAATTCGATCGCGCTCACTTATCTCACTTGGTTGTCGGGTCAACTACGTGAAAGATAAAGACAGAAAGTTGTGGCGGGTACAGAACGGAAGCCGCAGTAAGCTACGCCGAACAAGTCAACCATGCTTTCGTCGAAGACGGGTTAATCGGGCAACACGTGTTTCGTGCCGCCCGGCCGTGTGCTAACACGGAGATTTGTATTTCTGCGAAAGCTTTTCGGCGTTTACTAAAGGCAGCGAGTAAGTACAAGAATTTAGACCTATTACTTGTGCAGGTATTGATTTCGCATGAGTGCATGAGTAAACCCTGCTCTCTGCAAGCTTGACCGGACTGGCCGAATTGCGGTGTCGCTTCTGTAATTGGTGAACACGGCAGCCAAGCTCCTGTCGAGGGAATTTGTTTATTAAAAGGCTGCGATTCCAGTTGGCTTGGCTACGCAGCTTTACTTTTCTTTACTTTTGGCGTGTAGTTCAAATGATTTCAAGTGAAACTCTTGTAGCTGCACTTTGGATTTTTTTTAATCTTTACTTCTAATAGTGTCACTCAAGTACACGTGATGAACTAAATGCTTCTAAAAATTATTAGAGAATGTCGATGGAGCCAACGCTTTAAATACTGAACTTTTCTTCGTCAAGGCAGTGCAATGGCCCTAACGAAGACAAGTTAACTTTCCAAGCAATGTTTCCCGGAACGTTTTTTCTTAAAAACCTTCTGATCGCTTCAAGCGTCTGCGTGCCTTCGAACTTCAGCCACATTTGGTGCTCAAGTTCCGTCAGACTATTTTGCGTGCCGTACTACGTGTCTTACTCGCTATTGTTGATATTTTTCGCATTGGTTTGGATGTCCAGGGTTCAACGTTTGCTCATCATGTCTGTATGTTAGGTGTGAGTTAAAGCTGCTTTTACAGATTATCTTTTTCGCAATACGTGTATGTCTGTTTTTTATACAAAACGTGCGACAAAAAGTTTATTTTATTTGTGAAGATTGAGTTTCGTCTTACTGAGAAATAAGACAGCTTACCTTTTGCCTCTTGTGAAATTACGAGCACAATTTGAAAAGTTCAAAAATTTTTTACGAATGCTGCATTGTCCAATTGTCTTTAAAGAACGCACGAGCGAATGCCACTTGCATTTGATGTAGGAAAAGAGGGCTTTCGCCCTGACCCTTCGCCTCCTCTCAACTTTTCGTCTTTTCCTTATATTTCGGGACGTCACTAGGGACGCCCATAAACACATATTTTGGGGCGAAGTTTTTTATGGCGTGGCGTGAGTGCCCCTCGTTTTAGTGCGTAACTAGCGGTGGCACACTGCACCGAATTCACCTGGGCGTCACCTTCACTCGCCACTACACCCGCCGAATCAGCCATGCGGACAGCCCGAATTGTGAACGCTGCCAAGTGCGCGAAACGATAGCTCACATATTTTGTGACTGTGCATTATACGTGACACAAAGAAAAATACTAACTGCAACGTTGGCAAGCATCGGACGAACACTATTAAGTGAAAGCCAGATATTGTCAGCAATGAACGACCAAACAGTATC